CACATACGTAATTCATGTGCAGTTGAGTACCACGTAGACGTGAGTGACTACATGTACCATGTCGGCTTTTTATCCCAAGTGCTATGGTACCTGCAGGTTGTGGAGTACAAGAAGATACTCACCCCATTTTTACGCCTCAGAGATCAGAAAACCTGTTGCCGAATCAATAATAGCCCCCAAATCAATAGTACATGTTGTGCGACCCCAAAGATTTGTCACGCAATAGTTGAGGGTATACCAGGTGGAGACAAGATCAAAATCTGAGCGGTGTCATCTGCACCTAGCGTCCACGTATGATTCGTATATCCACGCATGAACATCATGTTCTGAACAGCATCTAGCATTGCTCCGTTCCAAATGAAACGCCTACTCCACGGAATAGGCTTGCTATCGATGCCGAGCGCGATTTTTCCACACATTTGCATTTGAAATCCTGTTGCAGTGACAATTGTGTCCGCGGTAATAATCTTACCGCTCTCCATCTGTCAGAACCCCGACTGGGCCAGGGCTACACGTATTTACATCTCCTCCCCCCTAGGGTACAAGACAAAGAGACCTTTTTGTATATAGATGCCCACCTCTTGGAAGTAGCAGTTAGGACTCCTCGTGCGTCAACAAGTATTCAGGACCTACCTATACGTTGGCATCCGTACCGTAGAGAGCGTGACACCATCTTAATTGCGTCCTCAGTCACAGCCTCAATCTTTCCTGTCACAAGTCCTTCGTTTAAACGATACAGGCTCTTATAGAATGCACCGTTTGGACCTAGGCAGATGCGCATTACCAAGGTTTGCACTGCGGTTTGAAGTGGACATATGCATTAAGTGGCAGTAATAATAATATTATATTTACTCCTTACGCTAGTCACGTGAGACCTAGGTAGGTGGTTGAATTGTATGCCTTCGTTTTTAGCGAATGAGGTACGAATGAGTGAACCGAAGGCTAACTATAGTCCACGAAGGCACTTCCAATCCTCGAGGCTTCCATACCAACACTTCAATATTTATATGCAATATTAAATATTTAGCTCAAATAGGAGGGTAGATGATTGACAAACATTATACTCCATTAATCTAGAACTCTCGTACTCAGCAAACGCTGGTGGCCACCCATGAGGGTTTGAGTGAACTAAGACACGCGGTAGCTCAGATGAGATAGATTGTGTCTATAACACAGCTGCAGCATTCAAAGAGATGAAATAGCGAACCAAAGGAGTGTCAAAATAGTATCGACGGGTGTAGAACACGGGTTATATAATGAAGGATATGTCGTACTTTAAAAGCTGTCACATCCTAAAACTTTGGCATGCCGAAAGACAATAAGTGAAGCCGCAAAACCTCGTTACATATCGCTCGGGTGTGGCCTAAATAAAGGAGTACGATTAGGTAACTGATTAGATCATGAACAAATCTAGCTTGCGATGGAGACGGGAACAAATTTCCACGATTTTCGGTTCGTCTTTTGCAGTGATATGACCGTTCTTGACAAGAAATGCCAGCCAAGTCATAGCACAGCTCAGCTTGAATTCGCCATTGGCCAACGCAGCACGAACCTCATCTAAGGTCTTCAAGTAGAGCTCCCCAACTTCCCCATCCCCAATGCTGGGCTCTATGTCTTTAAATTCCATCTCATATAGGTATTGTACCTGGGGCTGGCATCCCGGCGACCCGTCGTCGTTTTGGACCATCGTCCAGGATATTGTGCCGTAGGGCTTGAGGTTTGCACTGGTATACTCACGACTGAGGCTTAACTCTTCCTCGGATTCGCGTACCATGCAGTCGAAGGGATCTTCCCCAGCACGCAGGCTACCACCAACGGTGTTGTCAAGCATACCAGGATATCTAGCTTTGTTCTCGGAGCGTCTAGGGACCCAGTACTTGGTGCCCTCCGGTTTATGAACGTAGCCAATCATGTGTACACCGTAGTTAATAACCCCAAAGCGATCTAGGGCCGTGCCGTCCACTAGAGGACTCGGAGTCAGTTATCGCCATTTTGGGCATTATATACGAGGGTCTTAGAAGTTTCTAGACACAGCCTTCACGGAAAAGGAAAGTCTCGACTCTAGAAACCGCTGAAACAGGAAGAAAATAACCCCGAGATGTACTCACTGTCGAAGACGCGATCACCGTTGGCGTCAGAGACCCTAAACATCTCATTACAACATTCCTCAAAGACCCCGGCAACTACGCCAGCTCGGATAGTTTCGTCGATGAGTTTGTTTCTACCGGCAAAGTCGGTAGCTGTTTTGAGCGTTAGCGTACGCTTTTCCCGATCGATATCCCAGAATTTAGGCCAGGGCATTCGTTCCACGAAGGAATAGTGCATATATCCCAGAGGCTGCTTGAAACCCTCGACGAAGAAGTAGTAGTAATTCAGCATATGCCGTTTGTAGGCTTCGGGATCTTTGCTAAAGTAAGGCCACCTAATAGGCATTCGTTAGTGGGCGGCTACGCGAGCCGATACAATCTATGTGTGGGGGCGTCCTCACAGGTCGACTCTCTCAACGAGTTCGAGGTTGGAATATGGTATTTGGGGAGACATGGTAGTAATATGATCGGAAAGTGGCGTATTTAGGTTGAACTCAAATGGGCGAGCGACGATGTTTTCGGGCTCTCTATTTATCTACTAATTCTAAACTAATGTCAGACACATGTATCCCTTAATAAGGAATGGGGTGCGGGGTAGAGGACTTTACTGACATGTAATTTAGATAATCATCAGTCGTGTTCAATCTTGCGAGCGGATTCGGAAGCCAGTTATACCTAATCAGCATGCAGTTGAAAGAGGTATTCCGCTTATATAGGCACTCAGAGAGCTGAGTCCATCCTTGGGTAAAAGAATCATTGCTCAATTGTTGATTTGGTGCGAAAAAGATGTGTTTAAATTGCCCAAAGCATAACCGTCCTCAGCATAGCTATCTCACCGGTCAACCCACCTTGCATACCAATGAATGAATAGGTGGTATGAAAGCCTCTGGGACTGGAGGTTCTGGTATCTAAAATTGGAGCCCTTCATTTTGAAACCAGATTATTGGTTAAGATCAGTTTCAATCATAAATAAAGCTAGAAGAAGCACAATTTTAAACAAAACGCATGCCGCGATCGACACAACGTTCGAGGAAAGCAGCAGGTTTCCAGCCAAAAGTCACCGCCTTAGACCTTCAAGGAGTTAAAATCAGCAAAATACATAAACAACCTATTATTGCTTTAGCTCACTACGTACCTAAGGTTCTTTCTTGCCCTACAACCCCACCCTTTGGTACGCCCCGCAGAGCTACCACCGTGCCTAAGCCAGGGAACACATCCCTTCCGAAAGAACTATTAAAAACCCCCAATGTGAGACTACTCATTTAGATACTCAGGTAGGTAACGCGGGGTCATATACAAAAGCAGGTGAAGCAGCAGGCGCCAGAAAGGAAGGCATAGATTTTAAGTATGATCCCCTTGCCATGATAGCGAGTTATAGTTAGGTTCCTACAAGGCTGCATCAGGAGAGGCGACCGCAGCAACACCAAAAGAAGTGATCGTTGACCGTAATGGGGCGCGAACAAAAGAAGCATTCCTATATATAGGTAGGGTAGCATTCAGAGAGATTTCAGGAGCCTTGCGTAACAACAAGAGTCTATCACCTACCATATGCTAAAGGGTCTTGACACAAGCCTTCCTGAAGAACTGCGCGATATCAAGTTGGACACTGTTCCTTTAGATGTCTTCGTTATTTACTGATGATGGATCTGTTGAGATGCCCCTAAATTTAAGTCTTGGTAATTCTTAAATTTTAGCGCTTTTTATAAAAACCAATGCTAGAAAAACCATTAGCAACTATTTCGCTAACACGCCTAGAATATTCTGCGAATTTCTATTAAGTTTTCACAATATTATATACTTAATAGTTTAGTAAAGGCTGTCGCACAGCTTATTCCTTCTATCCAGAGGAATTCCCAGTCAACGAAAAACGCGATAATAAGTACAGAACCCAGGTCAACAAAAAGCCCTGCCTCCCGCCCCGTGCTGTTGTCTATTAGACCTACAAGTCTAGGTCGTCGGTATCTCGTCGCAGCAGTGACTTCGTTTGGTCCGATTATAGGTTACTTTTTTTTTATATAACTTAGTAGGTTACCCGATCTTTCGTCGCGACATCGACTCGCTCACGCGTGTACGCTTTGCAGGCCGCGTGCCGGGTCCCGATATGTTTTTTATTACGGTAAGTACTGCGACGTATCGTCCAGTGAGTGTTTTTTCCCCTTCTGCAAGCGGCTACAAAAATGAACGGGAGACAATACTCTACTGCCTACTACACATAAATAAGGAAACCCCGTCGTTATTTGTAGATAATCTGTTTACCAAATTTTACGTCGCGAAATATGCCAAGGTCGGTAGAACCCTTTCTCGGATCTGGGTCTACCTAGTTTGACTCCCTGGTCGGTTGCTTGCGTTTCCTGCGGATCACGTGTCTTAGAAGACCCAGAACCATAGTATAAGCTGTTTCTATCTAAATACTCGCGTTTACGTCCGCACAGCAAAGTCTACGGCTTGCATTTCTGCGATATGCGCTGCTCCTAAATACTCGGCACACTAAGCGCGGAGGTGCAAACATTTCTTATACTAGGATAGGAGCACTCGTCACGAGTTAACTTGGGATTCGAAGTACCCATGAAGCGGCTTTGCTCTCTAGAAAGATCTACGTCGAAACGTAAAGTTAATTCATTGCCGCCCTGTCGCATATGTCCGCGAGGAGCTTGGGGAACCAAGAATGCATCTATAAACAGTGTGGGTAGGCGCGGATGTGGGTGTGATTGATGGATGGCAGGTATTCAATTCGATAATTGACGTTATTGAAGAGATGTGGGTTAGGTAGCCAGTGACGAAGTGCTGTACAAGACTTATCACATAATAATCAATCATCATGAATGAGATCGATCTCGTTTCCATCCATTATATATTATGTATGTACATAGTGAGAAACTGAAGAAAAAGCAAAAAGTTTACGAGATAATGAATTGAACATGACCCGATTTGAACGGATGACCTTCTGGAGACCCCATTCTACTGGAATCAGATGCTCTACCGCTGAGCTACACGTCCGCCAGTTCAGCCTATGATGGACAAGCAGGTTTCTAAAATCCTCTGAAAATCAGAGCATGCAGCTCAATGCTCAACTTCCCAACTATTGACTTAATTAAGTCATTCCTTCTAATATTGGTTCCAATAATACAATTCAATGACAATGACCGCCGTTTTCGAAATCTAAATACGGTTAAAAGTGATCGAGGGTTAAAGAGGAGGTTTCAGCCACATCAGCCACACTATCGCAGATTGCTAGGGGCTTCAATACGTGGCTAGTGACTTTGGTGGTGATTACTAAGAGAATTCCTGTATCATTCCCAATAACAACCCAGTTACATACCTCGAACAGCAACCGGACAGTTCTGTGTAATGTGAATTTGCGATCCCTCATATATCATATAAAAATGGCGTACGCTCCTCAGAGGGCTAAGCACTTTTGTGCACCTCATCCTCACTTTCACGTTGGATTCATACATCCTCAACTTCAGCCTCGATTTCAACCTTCACCCTTACCTTCACCCTCACCCTTACCCTCACCCTTACCCTCACCCTTACCCTCACCCTTACCCTCACCCTTACCCTCACCCTTACCCTCACCCTTACCCTCACCCTTACCCTCAACTACGCGTTCTTCTTCCTTCCTTCTTCTCTATATTGCATATCCCCAGAACAGTCACATAACATCTCAGCCTTACCATGTACCCAGACTGGCCTAAATCCGACGCCGATCTGGTGCCATTGCCCAAATGCGATGGCCCTAAGCTGAAGCCGTTTGACTTCCAGGGCCCGCAGAAGATCGAATTCCTCGAGCGCGTCGGAGAGGGCCTTCATGCACACGTCTTCAAGGTCAAAATCCTGGGGAAGATATATGCATTAAAGCTAGTAAGTAGACCCTCCGAATGAGATATTGTAGAGTGGAGATCCCGAGTTAACTCGCGTATTCAAGTTCAGATTTTGCTACGACGATGACTGGATAGGTCCCGAGCGCTGGTCCGAAGGCCCCGAAGATCTCGAAATGATAAGCGCCTTTTACAACTACTCGGAGCCGTTCAGCGCCGAGTGCCGTGCATTTGGCCGCCTCCAAGAAACTGGCTATGAGGAGCTCGCGGTCAAGTGCCACGGCTACGTGTTATTAAGTGAAGAGCACGAGCAGGCCATGATGACTCAGTTCAGCGACCTCGATCTCGAGTTCAACGGAAACATTGAGACTGCCGGGTACGATGATTTGCGGTCGCGCTTCGTGAGCAAGGATGCTAGACCCCCGCCCATCCGGGGGATCGTCAAGGATTTCGGCCTGGATTTTGAAGAGGATAGAGAGGGGAATATACGGGCGCCGCTAATACGCAAGATCCTCCGAGATATCATCAAGATACAGCAGCTCGGTATTATCGACATTGATGTTGCGACCCGGCAAATCATCGACAATAAGCTGGCTGATTTTAGTAAGGCCATCACTATACCCCATTTTCTAACCAGCCCGGAGCTGAACCCGCACCTTACTCCCGAGATGATTTCCGCCATAGAGCTTGAGACTTTCAAGTACGCCCTGAATGATTACCTGTATTTCGATGCAATGATGTGGGACTGGAACTTGGACCACGGCACCCAGAAAGGTAGAATCTCGGTCTGTGCATTCCCTGACCGGCAGGGCACTGGAATCAAATATAACCTAAGGAGCAAAACTACCACGGAGCGTGTGTATACGTACGTCGACCCAAGGAAATACGATTGGCAGGCCTGTCCTACTAGGACAGAGTCGAGCAGAGGGAAAGATACAAAGGGACGACGGTCAGGGCAAATATCAAAGCGGAGTAGGCGCGGAAATCCTCGAGGCGCGAGCTCAATGATACGCCAACGGCTCAGTACTAAGCCACCTCTATGGTATTATAACGGTGAAATCACCGAAGCCCGGAGACTGGTACGCCAGGATGGCCTCTGCATTGATCGGCGTTGGTATTACGAGGACGGTTTCATATTTCCACGCATTAGCAGTCCATATTAATGTATGTACGAATGAGTAAATGATTGATTGATACACTACATCCTTAATAATCCAAGCATATAGCCATATCCAACTCACCATTACTAATACTCTACCCTGCTTTATTGTTCCGGCCCAGTTGGCAATAGTGAGGTTGCCGGCTCATCAGGGAACGAATAAGGCATCCCGTCCAGGTTGAAGACGTCGAGGCTAGGGTCGACCGTGGCGTCAAGACTAAAAAGAGGGTCCGCATTGATACCCACATGAGCTGCAAAGGCTGCTGCGTTTGCGGCAGCGTTGCCTGGCGAGGGTGTATGGTAAGCTGGAGGAGACGGAGGTTCCACGGGTTCCTCCAAATTCGAGTAGCCGTGGCGACGCACCCAGCCGCGTTCCTCATCAAGGAAGCACACATCCCACTTGTTTATCCTAACCATTTCATCCTCATCCACAATCGCACGGTTATGAGGGGCCGACATCGCCAGCATGGAGAGCCACCATAGCGCAAGATCCGTTGTGAGCTGATTCTCGCCATGCCTTGACCACGGGATAAGCATGAGAGCCGCTCGCCACTTCTTGGGTTCCAGCTTATTTCTGCTAAAACAGCATGCCACAAGATCTTCTTCCGTCAAAATATATCCATATCGAGTGTTTGCTATCATGCATGCCTGGGCCAGCTGCCTCAGCGGCCACAAGGTTTCCTTGTTAGCATATGGGGGTTGGCTAGCTAGCGTCCTCCCTTGGAATCTCGAGCTTGGTCTACCGAGGCCGACTACCAAGTTCGACCGAGGAAATTCGTCAAGCGTGATATAGTGGTCCACCTTGGACTTTCCGCCCGCCTCGCGAACCCAGGCAGTTTCTGACTTGTCGGGAGCCGCGATTTGGCAGCGGAGGAACACGCCTCTGTGGAGGTTGAGGCGCTCCCTAGCGAATTTGAGAGCTGGGCCGAGCACCTCATTATTCCAGTTTATTAGATAATTAATATCGCCACATTTGGTAATCTTAATATCAGGATCGAGCACCTGGCCAGGGCTGGGAACGGCTAGACAGTGTTCAGGGATGCTATGGTCAAGAATATGCCCATAGCTTTCGTTGAGGTTATCCAAATTAAAATCTTCCCAAATCGTGACGCGTTCATTAGTTAAGAATGGCCAAGTTTCTTTCTTGCTATTTTTGCCAGCTCCAACTTTGCAGGCGAAGATCGGTTTTTGCTGGGTAAGAATATGACGTAGGGTGGTGTTATTCAGGCTGGCAGCCATGTTGACAAGTCGATAATGAATTAGTTGATCTTGAAGCGATATAGTAAAACGTGATGAAGGTTCGAAGTTTTCCACTTTATCCTCTCGATAAACGGACTAGAATAAAGGAAGCGCCAGGAGAGCCGGACCAAATCGCCAGGTCCGGGTAGGCAGCAGCACTCACCTTGTGTAACTTTTAGAACGAAGCAAGGGGCCGCCAATCCATCCAATGCACGGCCGCGAAACAAGAGAGAAATCCGCCAGCGGTTAGACTCGAACGATGATTAGTGCAGAGCAATATGTACAACGCCCCCATTAGCCGCGAGAATGCAGTGACCTTAGGAAATAGTCTAGCCCACGAGCCTGACCTTATCGTGCATGCAATAGACCGTGTGAATCACCGGCTACGCCAAGGCCATTTATAGGTTGCAATCCATGGTGCTTGCTGATCGGGTCCGGAACATGGCATAGAGCTGAGGATGTACCTAAAAGCCACTATCACACACCTAGAAGCCACAATATAAGACGCCCCGACGTCAGAGGAGGTGCCTGAGACCTGCCTAAGGCCAACTGAAACCTTTAGGTTTATAGGGAGGGTATTAGAGACTAGGCAATGAGAGCTCGAAAGCTGTTTCAAGACGGGTGCGAATGGGGGATCATCATGAGGAATCACTGGCCCATAAACCCTTAATATACAAGTTCCAAGTCACGATTATTAGACCTTGAAATAATAGGTCTAAAGAGGGTCAGGACATAGCACGAAAATTCTACTCTGCAAAAAATATAGAACTAATGCTACCAAAAGACATGGGCGATTTATAATTGTGGTATATTGTAGAAGAAGTAGAGAGTTCCAAAGAAGCAGAAATAGTAGTTATGATAATACCTAATAAGTGCGAGGTGCCAGGGACCAACCATAGGCGTGCGATAAGACTTTATTGACACGCGAGGGCTCTGAATACCTTTAGGGCTACCTAGGTATCTTCAGGGTCTCCTCCGGGGCCTTCTTGTCTCACTAGAAGGTGTCACTCCCTACCAGGTGGTATGCCTGCTAACCTAACACGAAGTCTCATGCTGGGTGGGATAGACTCGCAAAGTATCTCTCCCGCATTTATATCGGGGGAAAGCAAAGGCAGCAGATATGATATTTCTTGTGCCTTTACCGATAAATAATTAAATTTGACTTTTGTCCCAACTTTATCATTTGTTGGTTCGGCGTTGCAACCACGAGAGTCCTCGGCAGTACTTCTAATTAGTGACCCAGAATCTCCGATGAGAGTCAGAATATGTATCAAATTGTCGTGTCTGTTCTCGATCGCCCTGTCCCTAGGACTCCGTTCGTTTTAGTCCTTCGCTTCACAGTTTGCTCCGTATCTTATCAGCCTCTCAGCCTCTCAGCCCCTCAGCCCCTGCGGTATAATGTAATGGCGTTGCGCCCTCGCTGCATTTAGCATTCTCAACACCCATGGATTGAAGTAGCATCTCGATTCTCCCTAATCAGTAAATCGACCATTTCCCGTAGCGATATACTGACGCCAAGTGTAATGGAGTTTCTGTCGGTCCTGATCTTCATTAACGTCTGCACTATGACTAATTAGTAGGCGGGCGATGGCCGCTTTGCGGATATAAACAGCTAGAAGTAGAGATGTTAGGACACACGTATCAGTTTCATTCACATCTGCTACGTTTTATATCAAGATATCAACTATCATCTCATTCCCTAATATAAAAGCCTGTGTAGTAATATTGACTCATTAATAAAGCACGTGACGGTATGCTCTAGCGATTATAGCCCCTGATAA